CTGTCCCTCAGCTCTTCAGCTCAAGGCTAGTGCTCTACCACTTGAGCCACAGCACCACTTCTGGCTTTTTTCTTTTTGCTTCTGTGGTGCTGAGGGATCGAACCCAGGGCCTCATGCATGCAAGGCAAGTGCTCTACCACTGAGCCACCTTCCCAGCCCCTATTTTTACTAACTTTTAAAGATAGGATCTTGCTAACATTGCCTAGACTGGCCTCAAACTCACCATCCTCCTGTACCTGCCTACTGGGTAGCTGGGATTACATGCTTGCATTACCATACCTGGCTACAGTAGTGTTTCCTTCCTTTCTTCCTTCTTCCCTCCCTCCCTCCCTTCCTTTTTGTGCTGGTCCTAGGGCTTAAACTAAGGGCCTAGGCATTATCCCTGAGCTTTTTTGCCCAAGGCTATAGCACTCTACCACTTGAACCTCAGATCCATTTTCAGTTTTTTTGGTAGTTAATAGACAATGTCTCCCGGATTTTCTCCAACCTGAGCTGGCTTTGAATCTCAATCCTCAGATCTCAGCATCCTGAGTAGCTAGGATTATAGGCTTAAGCCAGCAGCACCCTAGAGTTTCTTAAAATGAAGATGTGGTTAACTCTAACTTTCTGAAACTATTTCATCACTTACCATGCTGCTCAGGTGCAATGTAACCAGGCTTGGCATGTGAGGCCCTTGAGGGGGTGTCTCCTCCAAGTGTGGACCGACAACCCCAGGGAATGCAGAAGTGTATTCTCAGCTTCCATGCAGTTCTAGTGACTCAAGACACTCAAACAAGGGGTGAGGGCAGCCCAACGCCCTGACCTATACCAAGGTTCCCAGGAGATTCCAAAGCACCCAGAAGTTTCAGAATGTCTCAGAAAATGCCTATCTAGTCCTGGAATGCTTTCCTAGTCTGTAGGTATGATCGAGTCTTCTGCACGAATGACTTTTTTTTCTTTTGTTTTTGGTGCCTGTACTGGGGCTTGAACTCAGGGCTTCAAGCTCTCAGCTCTGTTAATAATAATAATAATAAAGCCTTTTTGTGTGTGGTCTCATGGACTTTTCTTTTTTTTTTTTTTTTGGGTCCAGTCGTGGGGCCTGAACTCTGGGCCTGGGCACTGTCCCTCAGCTCTTCAGCTCAAGGCTAGTGCTCTACCACTTGAGCCACAGCACCACTTCCGGCTTTTTTCTTTTTGCTGATGTGGTGCTGAGGAATTGAACCCAGGGCCTCATGCATGCAAGGCAAGCACTCTACCACTGAGCCACCTTCCCAGCCCTCTCATGGACTTTTCTACCCTAACTGGCTTTGAATCTCTGAAGCTCTATCTTTGGATCTCAATCTCCAGAGTAGCCAGGATTACAGGTGTGAGCTTCCAGTGCCTAGCCTGAGTGACCTTTCTCCCCGCCCCCCCTTTGGTGCTTATCTTGGGGCTTGAACTCAGTGCCTAGGCAGTCCCTAAGCTTTTTGGCTCAAGGCTGGTACTCTATTACTTGAGCCACAACTCTACTTCTTGCTGTTTTGGTGGCTAACTGGAGTTAAGTCTCATAGATTTTCCTGGCTAGGCTGGCTTTGAATGGAGATTCTCAGATTAGGATTTTAGGTATGTGGATGCCTTTCTTAACTTCTACTTGTAAGAGTCACCTCAGCTTCTTAGGGCCTGCCTCCATGTTCTTTTCCTTTTTTTTTTTTTGCCGGTCCTGAAGCTTGAATTCAGAGCCTGGGCACTGTCCTTGAGCCTCTCTGTGCTCAAGGTTAGCACTCTACCACTTGAGCCACAGTGCCACTTCCAGCCTTTTCTGTTTATGTGGTACTGAGGAATTGGGGCTTCATGCATGCTAGCCAAGCCCTCTACTACTAAGCCACATTCCCAGGCCCTTTATGTTCTTTTGTATTAGTAAGGAGCTTTGTCACTGCATGAACCAACTTCCTATTATCACACAGTAAGGGTCTCACAGGAGAGGTATCTGGATGTACTATATCTGACAAACAGGAAGTGGAAGGAGGTTTAGAGTTGGCCATCATTCTAATTTCCCAAAGATTACTTGGGCAGGCAGGTAAGAGACACTGCTATTTGCCAACAAAGCTAGTGGTTCACCCTTTAAGCAGCTGGCACCCAACTAGTTCCCTTTTTCTTTTCTTTCTTCTTTTTTTTTTTTTGTAGGTCATGGGGCTTGAACTTTGGGCCTGGGCGCTGTCCCTCAGCTCTTCAGCTCAAGGCGAGCGCTCTACCACCTGAGCCACAGCACCACTTCCAGTTTTCTGGTTTACTGGAGATAGGAGTCTCAGGGACTTTCCTGCCTGGGCTGGCTTTGAACCACAATCCTCAGATCTCAGCCTCCTGAGTAGTAGTTCCTTTTTTCAAGGTCACAGTCTTGACTGAACACTTGTGCTTCTTAAAGCCACACTCTTCCCTTGACACGTGACGGACGGAAAGAAAGACCAGACTCGATAGTGTTCCTTCAGAGGAAGCCTTTATTGTAACATAAAATACACAATTCTGACTGCCCCAAATTGTACACAATATTTTTTTGGTAGCTATTTACTAATCTGCCTCGACACTAAAATATGTATCTGAAATAATTTCACAAAGTTTGAAAAAAAGAAAATTATAAAAACTATACTTCCATTGTAAGTGCTATCCAGTTTGGTGTCTCCTGCACTCCCTGCCCCCTAAACAAAGCCCTGCATATACCACCTGGAGCTGTGTGTGGCTAGGAGCTGAGGGCAGGTGGGCAAGAAGGGAGGGGAGGGGAGGCAGGGGGTGGGGGTGGAGATGGGCCTAGCTCCTTCTTGTGGTTGGAGGAGCAGGGCAAGAGAGAAAAGAGAGAACAGAAAGCAGATTAGAGAGCTAGAGAGCCTTCCAGTCCCACACCTCCATCTTTAGGCACAGCTTCAGGAGAAAACTGATGGCAGCTCAGGCAACTGTGTGGAAAGCCAAGCTCTTTGGTACCCTTCCTTCCTAACCTCGTGACAGCGAGCTCCAAGTAGTGAGCTCCAAGTAGCCTGCAACTGCCAGGCTGCTCTGCCTCTCTGGTGGGCCCTGGATCTGTGTCCATCAGCAATGTGAAAGGGTGTCCATCCACAGGTCCTTTGCTAGGGTAGCCTGGGACAAAGAGGCAGGTGCTGGCAAAGGATCTCTGAGTGTCAGGAGGGAAAGGGCTCTTTAAGCCTGGGCTCCCCTCAGCTGTCAGGCTTTCTGTTTCTACTTTCCACCTTCACAGTGGGAATTTGGATCAAATCTTCAGGGGAGGGGAGGAGCTAGGCCTCCTCCATCCACACTGGTATCCATGGAGGGGGTTGCTGTGTTCCTGAGGCAGACAGTCTACTGCTGGGCATAGAAAAATAAATCAGTATATGAAACCAAGCCAAGGCAAACAGCAGCTTTTAAAAAGTCATCTTCCAATAAATAATTTACTACAGAGGAGTATTTCTTTTAACAGCATTGATAAATTCAGAAGTTTTTTTTTTTGTAAAAAAAATATGTTTATTTACTCACATGTATAAAAATAAGGTTTAGGGCCATCCTTTCCTGGGTGTGGTCCTGCCCTAACTCTGGAAGGGCTGAGAGGGGCTTCGTGGGCCTTAAGCATAAGCTTTCTGCTCTCCCCCATCCAGCCTGCCTGCTGCAGCCCCTCCTTTCTTCTGGTGAAATGCTGCACAGGAAATGGTGGAACAAAATCATGTCAAGGCTTTTTTTGTTTCTCTGGCTTACCCAACTTCCCAGCAAACCTGATGACTGCATTTCTCCATTCACATACTCCCAACACAGCGCTGGGTGATGCATGCCTGCTGAACCAGCGGCTCAACGTGCAGGCCACAGGCCTGCCACCTCCTCCTCGGGACACAGAATGTGACAAGGAAGGGAAAAGAGGTGACCTGGATACAAACAGCTGAGGACCCAAAATGTAGGAAGAGAGAAATTCCATGTCAAATTCAGGTGCAAAGGGGAAAACAAAGGCAACCCAATTTAGGAACAAAACTACCACTCAACTTTTTTTAGAAAGCTATTGGCAATATAATAAGCCTTTAGAAAGCCCTGGATCGGGCCTCTGGGGCCCAGAGGAAGGATGGGCAGCACAGAAGGGCAGCTGCCTGAGCAACAAGGCTACACCCAGCACCTGAGAGCTGAACTGGCGTGCTTCCCTGGCTGAAAAACAGGGCATCACACTACATTCTTGTGATTCTCTGTCCTTCCCTCTACTTTGCCAAATGGGTCTGCACAGGTGTATACACATAACTGATTGTCAAGTAGAGAGAGAAAGAGAGAGAGAAAGAGAAAGGGAGGAGAAGGGGAGGAGTGGAGAGGGAGGGGAAGGGAAGAAGAGGAGGAAGGGAAGGAGAAGGGAAGGAGAGAATTTAGGATGGGTTACGTGATATACAAAAAGCTACCACCTATCCATCCAAAAACCCATGGCTTCTCTTGCCCCAAAGATCTTTAATGTTGTTTCTTTTCCTATCCCTTTGTGTGTGTGTACATGTGCGCACGCGTGCATGCGCGCGCGCACACACACACACACACACACACACACACACAAGGGCTGAGAAGAGAGGACGGGAGGACTAGCTCTGTCAAAAGGCCGTCATCCACATCTTAGAAGACAAGCAGAGACAATGGCAGTTTGTGCAGACCGCCTGGCAGAGTGACGAAGACTCCCCAGAGGTGCCTTTTCCTCCCTTTGTTCTTGTTTTACTTGCATAGCCTCATGTCAAAGTTCAGCCACTCTTAAGACACATGGCCAAATTCCAGGGTTCATAGAACTAATTGCCTTTGGCATGAGGCACAAACAAGCGCAACCTCTGTGTGAGGCCCTGGAGCTGTATCCAGACTCTGGGCAGCCAGGAGCGGAAACACCACAATGTGCAAGCTCACACGCACACTCACACTCACTCTTCACTGGTGCCACCATGCACAGAAACACTAAAGTCACAACTAGTATTAACACTTCACATTATGAGTATTGTTTCCAAAGAGAAGCGATTCATGGAATTAAAACATCCACAAGATAATTCCTCGGGCGAGGATGAAGAAGCTGAGGGTAGTAAGGCCAGGTGGGTCACGACTGGGCATGAGGGATCCACTGACTGTCCATGGGCCGGCCTAGGAGCTCCTCCACACGCCGGGCCACGTCCATGGTGTCTTCTAGGTCGAAGTCCCCATCGGTGTCAAGAACCGAGTCAGGACTTGGGAGGAAAAACAAGAGATGGAGGTCACCAGGAAGGCGGCCTGGGCTGCTTGTCCCCTCAGCCCTACACCCTTAAAGAAGGAGAAGCCTTTGCTGGCTGGCTCTACAGAGAGGCATAGATACCAACATCCACCTAGTTGCCCCAACACTAACTGACCAGACCTATCCGCTCTCAGTCCTTACACATAGCAAAACAAATCTCCAGTTAGAGGGGAGCAGATGCCATTTGTCTGAGCCCACTCAAAACTACAGTTTTCCTGGGTGAATCTCTCCTTCCCATAGCCCATAGCCCAGGCCTCTCCCTGAGTGATCTTAGGTTCCCCAGGACCTTTGGTTCCTTTTGCCCACCAACTCCCCCATCCTGGGGACCAGCTGCGGTCAGGCTCCCAGTGCCTCCCCACGGACCCCCACAAGAACACGACCTACTTCTGTGGGTACATGTTGTAATGAGTCTGGGGGCACACTGCTGGGGAGGGCGCCTGGTCCATGTACGTGGCGCCGGCCCCGGCATCTGCAGACGCGTTCACAAACCTGCAGAAGGGAACAGAATGAGGCCAGTGGCGCTGATGTGGGGTGTGGTGACGTCATTTGCAGCGTGTAGAAGGACAAGGTGCCCCACTGAGTCCTGGGGATCTGGTTCTAGTCATGGGGCCCTGGATGCTGATGAAATATGACTAAGCCTAGGGATCCAAAAGGGCTGATCAGGTTCACAGGGGCTCAGGGATGCTGGGCTCAGCAGGGGAGGGTGGCCATGTTGGATGTTGGGGACATAGAAGGAGGAGGAACAGGAGACTGGGAGTGGGTGATACTTACTCAGGAACCACTTGCTTGATCTGTGGCTTCACGTATCCATCAACTGCTTTAGCTGCCAAGGCAAGAACTGTGCTGAGAACCAACATTCTCAAATGGAATAAGATGCAATCTCTCTTAAGAATCACAAACTTTTCTCTGGAGAAGACACAGTCATCTAATTTTATCTTAGGACATGACAAACACTCATATTTTCATCTGTTTGGCAATCTTAAAGAGAAGTTGAAAACTTAGGTATCATGCAGACTGGCCAGGATGTTTTAAAAAAATTCTTCAAGTCATAGAAAATATATTCTTCTGCAACAACTTAAGTTAACTGTTAACTGCACACAGTCATAAAAAGAAAATATCAAGCCAGGTGCTGGTGGCTCACACCTATAATCCCAGCTAGCTACTCAGGAGGCTGAAATCTGAGGATTGCAGTTGGAAGCCAGGCTGGGCAGGAAAGTCTATGAAACTCTTATCTCCAATGAACTATTCAGGAAAAGCCAGAAGTGTCACTGTGGCTCAAGTGGTAGAGTGTTAGCCCTGAGCACAAATAGTCTCAGTGCCCAGGCCCTGAGTTCAAGCACCAGGACCAGCAAAAAAGAACAAAAATCTTTTTATTCTGTCTTGACATGTAGTCCAAGCTGGCCTCAAATTTGCACTCCTCCTGCCTAGCCTCCTAAATGCTAGCATTGTAAGAGTCATCATCACCATACCCAGCAGGGAGAAAAAAAAAACCTCTCATATCTTAAAAAGTAGCCGGGCGCTGGTGGCTCACGCCTGTAATCCTAGCTACTCAGGAGGCTGAGATCTGAGGATTGCGGTTCAAAGCCAGCCTGGGCAGGAGAGACTGTGAGACTCCTATCTCCAATAAACCACCAGAAAACCGAAAGTGGCGCTGTAGCTCAAATGGTAGAGCACTCGCCTTGAGCTGAAGAGCTGAGGGACAGAGCCCAGGCCCAGAGTTCAAGCCCCACAACGGACAAAAAAAAAAAAAAAAGTACACAGTCAAAGATGAAATAGAGGTTTTGTTCTCCAGATCCTGGGGCAGTATTAGGACTGGCAGAGGTTGCAAGAGGCCAATTTTCTAGTTTTAGAAGTAGACAAGGAACCACGACCCTCCTTACTGCTAGTGTTCTAGCAGAAACAGTATCGTGACCACACAGTAACTCCCAGCATTAGGGAGCAATGGATGTGACTTAATGATCCTTGATCAAGTAATTCTACTTCTGAGTATCTACTTCTTCAACTTAGCGAGTGTGTCTCTTTTTCCTGTACCTGCCTGCTTTTCCCTGCCCTGTCACTTCTTTTTTTTGTTGTTGTTGGCCGTGGGGCTTGAACTCTGGGCCTGGGCGCTGTCCCTCAGCTCTTCAGCTCAAGGCGAGCTCTCTACCACTTGACCTACAGCGCCACTTCCGGTTTTCTGGTGGTTTATTGGAGATAGGAGTCTCACGGTCTCTCCTGCCCGGGCTGGCTTTGAACTGAGATCCTCAGATCTCAGCCTCCTGAGTAGCTAGGATTACAGGCGTGAGCCACCAGCGCCGGGCTTGCCCTGTCACTTCTGTATGTGGAAGGCAATTTGATTGCTGACCAGAAACAGTTGTCGGTGCTGATGTTGGTTGAATGAAAAACCTGTGGATGCTGTCCCTGACTCTGTACAAATGCCATGGGGTAAGAATGGACAAGAGGTGGTCTACATGTGTCCTAGCCAGCTATAGTCACCCATTCTAGAGGCTTTTTGTTGTTGTTGGTGGTGGTTGTGGGGCCTGAACTCTGGGCCCGGGTACTGTCCCTCATCTATTCAGCTCAAGGCTAGCACTTTACCACTTGAGCCACAACACCACTTCTGGCCTTTTCTGCTTATGTGGTGCTGAGGAATCAAACCTCATGCAAGGCAAGCACTCTACCACTGAGCCACCTTCCCAGCCCCTCTAGAGGCTTCTTATGGAGATACAGTTAGGTGGGTGGTAAGAATTTAGAGTCAGCTATGAGTGAATGAAGTCTTGTCTCCCAAGCACAGAAGTGTGGGAACAATACAACCCGAACTACATTAGTACAGGGACTCATACAGTCAATAGAGCAGAGGTGTTAGCTAAACAGCCTAGCAAAGTGAAAGGTTATCCTAGCCTACAGCGTCTCAGGAGAGTTGTTAGCTAAACAGCCCAAAGTGTCTTGTCCTAGCCTACAGCTCTGTCAGCCCCTATCTTTCACAACAGCTCATGACAGCTGTACTTTATGCTCAACAGAGAATTTTATAGATTGGCAAACAGATTAAACACACACACACACACACACACACACACACACACACTAAACTAAAGAAAGGCTAGGCATCTGTGGTTCACACTTATAATCCTAGCTACTCAGGAGCCTGAGATATTAGGATTAAGATTTGAAGCCAGCCCAAGCAGGAAAATCTGTGAGAATTTTATCTCCGATTAAACCAAAAAAAGTCAGAAGTGGAGCTCAAGTGGAGAGCACTAGCCTTGAACACAAAAGTTCAGGGCAGTGTCTAGGCTCTGAGTTTAAGCCTTAGGACCACAAAAACCAAAGAAAGGCTGTAAGAAACTAAAGCTTCAAAATCTAGATTTGTATTAACAAAAAAAAGTTGCAAAGCTGGGCACATGCTAGTAATCCCAGCTACTCAGAAGGCAGAAGTAGGAGGTTCACAGGGTGTGGCTCACGTGGCAGAGCACTCTCCCAGAAAGTACAAAGCTGAATTAAGTCTCCAGTACAAAAGAAAAACATTTATAGAATGGGTTTCTATAGAAATTGCCTGTATTTGCACTTCAGAAATAACATAGAGAAAATATTTGTTATATACAACAAAGGATTAATATAGTGCCTATATTAAAAGAAGCTTCAAAAGAAAAACAAACAAGAAAGGTGAACATGCACTTCAGAGAAAAATAAAAATGGCCAATGATATGATATAAAAAAAATATAGGTTCTAGCTGGGCATTGGTGGTACCTAGCTACTCAGGAGGCTGAGATCTGAGAATCATGGTTCACAGCCAGCCTGTACAGGCAAGTTCCAGAAAAAAGGCTAGAAGCAGAGATATGGCTCATGTGGCACAGTGCCAGGCTTGAATGAAAAAGCCAAGCAAGAGTATTAGGCTCTAAGTTCAAGCCCCCCCCCCCCGCTGGCATTAATAAATATTAAAAAAATAATTAAAAACATGTATTATGTAATATGGTCTGGAATATACTGAAATCACATTCTAGTTTGGCTACTTTTCTAGCTATGTCATCTTGAGTAGATTTTACCTTTCTGTTCTCAGTTCCCTTATCTGTAAAATGAGGATACTACTTGTTTTTACTTCACACAGCTGTGCTGAGGATGAAATGAGATACTATAGGAGAAGTTTCTGGCACACAGCAAACATTTCACAGGATCAGCTGCTTTTATATATATATATATATATTCCCCCCCCCCCGCCCCCTTGGTTGTGGGGCCTGAGCTCTGGGCCTAGGTGCTATCCCTCAGCTCTTCAGCTCACGGTTAGTGCTCTACCACTTGAGCCACAGCACCACTTCCGCTTTTTCTGTTTATGTGGTGCTGAAGAATCATACCCAGGGTCTCATGCATGCAAGGTAAGCACTCTACCACTGAGCCACCTTCCTAGCTACTGCTATTATTATTTTGTTATTCCATTTATTATTATCATCATACAAAAAGATGTTTGAGGTTATCTAGAATCAAAGAAATGTAAGTAGGGCCCATAAGAAGCCATTTTTCTAGCAATCAGACCGGCAGGCATACATAATGTTTGCAGCTTGTGGCTGGTAGAATGGAGCAGCAGATGCCTGACAGATATCTACGGGAGTGAAAATGGTCTCTGCTTACTGAAGGGCAGTTCTGGAAGCTTAAACAATATCATCCTTTGACATCAATTCTGCTTTAGGAATTTATCTTCAGTTACAATTGGACAAAATACATGCACAAGATTACCTTTAACCATAACCCCCAAAAGCAAATAAATTAAATCATAAGTATCTTAATTAAACCAACACAGACTACAATGTGGAATTACTATACAATAGCATTCTGTACAATCATTGATATGTTGTTAGAAGACTGCATTATTGACTTATAATTTTTCTTAGGATTTATTTTTAAGTGGAGGGGAAAATTAGGATACAAGATTACATACGGGTTGACCCAAACCTTATATCCTGGCTTCTGTGGCTTCAGTCTTCTGGCCTCCACAGCCAGGGGGCCTGGCTTCAGCCTCCTGGCTTCTATGCTGAGGTGTCAGCCTCCTGGCTTCTACGCTGAAGTGTCAGCCTCCTGGCTTCTACGCTGAGGTGTCAGCCTCCTGGCTTCTACGCTGAGGTGTCAGCCTCCTGGCTTCTACGCTGAGGTGTCAGCCTCCTGGCCCCCATGAGCCTCTCCAGAGGCACTGAGCTCATGTCCCCTCAGGACTGCACTTGTCGCTAAGCCGTGCATGTGTTCTCTCTAGCTTCCACACTTTGTTCCATCGATTCAAATGTCACTTCTTCAGAAACCTCCCTGGACCACTAAGAGAATGACCTCCTCCCCCCAACCTTCCCATCCCCTCAGCCCTGTCACTTCTTTATCCCTACAGAATGCCACCTACAGAGTTGTTGGAAGATTTATCACCAACCTGCCTACAGATGACATATAGTCATGTGATGCCTATACTCTTCCTCTCCCTTCCTCCTTACCTCCCCCCTTCTCTCCTTTTCCCTCCCTCCCTGCCCCACTCCCCCTCTTGTAGAGGTCCTGAGGCTTGAGTGTGCTGTCTCTGAGCATTTTTGCTCAAGGCTACTACTCTACTACTTGAGTTACAGCTCCACTTCTGGCTTTTTGCGGGTTAACTGGAGATAAGATTCTCATGAATTTCCCTGCCTAACTGGCTTCAAACTGTGATCCTCAAATCTCAGGTTCCTAAGTAGCTAGGACTACAGGTGTGAGCCACTGGCACCTGGCTGCTCTCTCTCTTATGTCTTTATATGTCTCCTGAAAATGTATGGAATAGCCAGGCGCCGGTGGCTCATGCCTGTAATCCTAGCTACTCAGGAGGCTGAGATCTGAGGATCGTGGTTCAAAGCCAGCCCAGGCAGGAAAGTCCGTGAGACTCTTATCTCCAACAAACCCAGAAAACCGAAAGTGGCCCTGTGGCTCAGGCAGTAGATCGTTCACCTTGAGCTGAAGAACTCAGGGACAGCGCCCAAGCCCCACAACTGACCAAAAAAAAAAAAAAAAGAAAGAAAGAAAATGTATGGAAAGAGCTTCTAGACTCAGAAGACAATTCAAGCATCTCTGTCTTTTGCTGTTGTTTGTTGGAAGTACTGGGATCTGAACTCAGGGCCTTGTGCTTGCCAAGCAGATAGCTCTATTACCTGAGCCATGCCCCTCAATCCCATCTCTGTTTTGTTTGTTTTTGTATTTTTTGGGTCCGGTCCTGGGGCCTGAACTCTGGGCCTGGGCGCTGTCCCTCAGCTCTTCAGCTCA